TCTTCTCTTCTCTTCTCTTCTCTTCTCTTCTCTTCTCTTCTCTTCTCTTCTCTTCTCTTCTCTTCTCTTCTCTTCTCTTCTCTTCTCTTCTCTCTCATTTCCATGTACCATTATTCATCCCCTCTTTTTCTCAAACTTATTCTACAGGCCAATAGTAGACACACAGACAGTGAAGGCTTTGTTATGAATGGCATCCTCTTGCACATCCGGAGGAAGTGAACGCTCCAGTGTGGCTTTACAAACTGTCTCCATTGTCCTGAGAATGACTCACTCTACACTGCAGAGAATGGCAGACAGCCAGGCAGTCAGACAGACTGACAGCACAGTGCAGACAGACTAGTCTGCAGAGCCTACAGACGAACAGCAGAGAGACAGTTTGTGACAGGTAGAGCCAATATGGAACAGAGGAAGCCAACTTGTGAACTAAAAAGACCTGCAGCTAGCACGTGTGGACACAAAATGTAGATGGATAACATACACAGATAACTTTGTGTTTAGCTGGAATATATGTTTTTTGATTTTTGGATTATGTCTGTGTTAGCGTTACACTGCCTCAGCATAACCACGGATAAATTTTGCGAGTTGTGAGCTCAATGGCCTGAAGCAATATAACTGTCAGCTCAGTAAGATCGGCTGAAGCATCCCTATAAAAGCCATGCACAAGGACACTCCTGGAGTAATGGATGGGTGTGTGAATGAATTAATGTAGAGTTAGGCAGTCTTGGATAAATGAATGAGTGAATCAATGAATGGAGTGCTGATCACTGCAGATGAACAGCTTGGACAGAGGAAGTGAGCGGGGAGTAAAGGAGGAGAGGTTGAATAATGGGATTAGTTTGCAGCTCAGGATCATCAATATGCTGACCTCAAACATTTGATCACACTGTGGGTGGATGCACATATATTCACACATGTACACATCACAAGGTTATTGTTAGTTATTATTTATCACTACTCTGAAAATCATTGTCAGAATCCAAATTTTGCTTAATGCACCCTGCTTTCATGCTATACATTATCACTCCTTTCACTTGATTAGTAATAAGTGTGATCAGAAGCACCCTCAGCTAAACATATTGTCTGTCATCTGCTGTTAATAATTAAACAAATTATACAGTTTGTTATCAATGTTAGAATTTAATACATATATAAATTAATAATTCATTCATATAAAGGTGCTACTGTGTATATATAAGAATGTGACTCAAGCTTGTTAGACATTTTCATGGTCACGCAACACAAATCCAACAACTAACAGATGTTATATGATGGATTTCTTTAACAACATGGTTTATGCCACTTGCACCAGTAAGGCTATTGTTGAATATTGTTGCCAATGCTTGCTTTGTTATTCAAATTTAGCCCAGACAATGTTTTTTTTAAGGGAAAAAACCTTTATGTATCCTAGATTTCCTACACGCCTCAGGTTCCTCCACAAGTATTTTCCCTTGTTCCAAAGGGAGCCTGTAGATGTGTCTTTAGTTTAATAAGATCTGTTGACAGCAGCTGCACTGTCCTCACTTGACAAAGCAATTTGAGTTTAAGTGGAAACCAGAATCTATGTTTAAATGTGCTAACACAGATTAGACTAATAGGGTAGTGTGTGGTTTAACATCTTGAGGTTATTGAGAGCTGGTGGGAGCAGGCTTTGGGTTGATTAGAGAAGGCAGGTTACAGTGGGGGTTGGTTTGGCTGATTTGGGCCAACAGATTAGTTCCTAGTCGCTAGCAGCTAATGTAAGTGTTACAGTAGCTGACAGAAGTATTACCTCAGAGTGAGACTGTTTTGGCTTTTTATGTGGCCTTTTTTTTTTTCTTTTCCAGTTTTGACAAAATTTTAATCCATAGCTTGATATGATATTAAAACTTCTGAAAAATAATAGTCTACTGTATTTAATAAAACCCTGTAATGAGACCTTGTACAGCTCCATTTCAAACTAGTTTTTCTCTCCTGTATCGAGTACTACAGATAATCAGATATACTGTCTGTTTGTGCCTTTTTAAATAATAGAACAGCACAGTCTGATCGTATGTCTTAGAACTGCTTTTCACACTGACAACAGGACGACACTAGCCAGGCTGTTGCTTACCACAGCTGACAAAATGATTACTGCTCCAGTAACAGTGTGTGTATTATTTAGTATGTCCATGCTGAAAATTTCCCTAGAAACTGTTTTTGGTGCCCAGTTTTTTCTCTGTGATGATTTTATTCTTGTATGATTTTTTTTTTCACATGCTGAAGTTTCAAATAAGATAAGGATGAATTAAGAAATGCTTTATCCCCTGTTTGGGGAAAAATGGATGTTGCAGTTGATTTGGGTGCAGCAAGAATAAATCAGGTGTATAACACAACAAAGGTGTTTTCAGCAGAACCAAAATGGTCGACAGTGGTGTACATCTGTTTGCTCAAAGCAACTGGACAGCATCCTTGATGCATTTCTCTTCAATTTGTAGCACAGAGCTCTTTGTTGCCTCATTTTTAAGTCCGAGCATGAGCTCCACAGAGCATCGTCTGTTACAGAAGCCAGGAAGGAGGTTTTTGTGGTTATTGGAGCCCCTTTTTAAAATTTTTATTCAGCATTTCTGAATCTGACTGATGGCTATTGGATTGGTTTAGGAGTAAGTTATGCCTGGATAGAGTGTGCAGGAATGAGCACATAGGATATGTAGTCGCTTGCTTAAATTCACTCTTCTCACACAGTCTAGGATCACAGTTTGTGCAGTACTAGTGAGCTGGCAGGGCAGAGTTTTTATTGTCCGATCCAACTTTGTGGATTTGAGTTCTCGCATACACCTCTGTGGGGTAAGATCTAAAATGCTCAGAGGGTTGTAGTGCATGTGTGAAGACCTCTGCTTGTATGTGAAGCCAAGACATACCACTACATCTGAGGTTGTCTTTAAGCTCATGTAGAAGAATGATTGAATACTGCATGAAACACTTTTTTTAAAACTGTCTTTAGTAGGTTTGATTTGAGTTTGCTCCTGCTATGCCTGACTTAATAGTTGAGCTGCATGTTGATGTTACAGTGATCATGGTTAAAGGGTCAGTCAGTCTATTTATAACTTCCCACCTGTAATCTGTCCCTGACGGGATTAACAGAGCCACTAGCTTCAGCCTGCTGTGCCACACAGACACGCTGAAAATGTGACAGATGAATAAATACATGCATTAATAAAGGTATAAAGGTGTACAGTGCATGCAGACCAGAGAAAATGCATAAAATGTGACCATGTTTTTTTTTTTTACTGCATGTGTACATGTTTGTTTGCATGCATTTTTCTTATTGGTATACACATGTTTCACAGAATCTTGGTTATTTGGCCTGACTAAAAACAGAAGAAGACGACGACACCAAACAGTGACAACATTTTTTCATCCTCCCTCAGACTCCTCCATCTATGGTTGCCAATCTCCAGTCATTAATTAGCTGTCCATGATAAAATTCCCCATTCCCAATCTGACACTAGTGTAGAGCAGTGGACAGCAGTGGTAATCATGTCAGCAAGGCTTGGCTCAATGTTCTGAGGGGGCTAAATGGCCCCCATATGGTCCACTGGCTGGGACCCGCTCTTCACCATGCTCTCATTAAACTACTGCTTAATATACCAAGGTAAAGAAACACACACACACACACACACAGACTAATGCATACTCTCAGCTGTAAGAAACAAATCAAGGCATTTGACAAGGGATTGGACACAAAGGGACAGGAGGACAAGGAGGTGGTGTTTGTTTCTGTGTTTGTGTGTACATGTGGTGTGTGTGTCTGTGTTTTGAGAGACTGACGCTGTACAATTGTTGACTTGCCATCTGTCATCAAGCAAAGAATTCTGTGTGTGTGTGTGTGTGTGTGTGTGTGTGTGTGTGTGTGTGTGTGTGTGTGTTTGCATAGACAGGAAAGATGAGACAGAAAGGAAAGAAAGAAACAGTGAGTGAGGTGCAGATGTCTCACAGCATAGCGGCTGGAACATGAGGTTCAACAGCAGACTGCTGTATGAGAGGAGGTGGAGGGGGAGAACTGAGAAGAAAAGATGACGAACATCTGCCATATTCAGATATTGCTCCGTGGTTTGAGTGTTTCCACAAAATATTTTGAGCTGGAATAGGCCTGGGACATTGCCTGCTTATTAAGTAGTTTGCAGGACTAGACTGGCAAGTTCACAAATATTCTTAAGTATATAACCAATAATGCGATTTTATCTCCCTTCACCAACGTTTTGTTTCACTGGGCGTATGTCTTTGTTGGTGAAATACTCTGTGGAGAAACAGATGAGCCATTTGGAGCCACGGAGAACAAACAGTTGAACAAGTTGGTGCAACTATAAACCTCAAGAAATATTTTAAAGTCAGATAAATCGTACTGCTTGTTAGCTGGTGTTCTTTGTCTGTATATTGGAGTTTTTCTATACTTCAGTCATCTATCATTTCCTCTTTACTGTTAGGGGAGTGGCATATATAATGATTTGTTGCCTTCACTTTTTGATTGATCACTTGTTTGGAAGCTTTTTCTTTTGCAATTACAGTAGTTAGCTGTTACTGACTGGGAACTTTTCCCCATTTCCCCATTGTAGTGAATGAATTTTAACATAACTGCGTGTGAAAACTTTGGTTTGATTTTAGTCTGGCATATGTATTTTTTAATCTTGTTTGTAATTTTCAGGAAGTGCAAGTAGCAGATTTAATACTTAATATGAATACTTTGAGTTAAATGAAAATTAATGGTTTAATTTTCATTAGTAATTGGCTAAAACTGATTACAGCATAGATGACACACATATAGCCATCTTTGTTTCTTTTTAACTGTGTGAGAGGCCTAAGTGCCTGATGCTGGCCAGCTGAGGTGGACAAGTTGTCAAAAACAGCCTCTTAGACAGAAAGGCGTTACAAAATGACAAGCACCAGCTCCCAGGGACAGAGAGAAAAGTGTTTGCTGTAGTTAAAGTAATATACTGTCTGCCACCTCAAAGTGTTACAGACAGGCAAGCGGTCACTAATTGCAATCACACTGTGATTCGTTTGTCCAAAGTCTGTAATACTTCCTGAATTTACACTGCCAAATTTTAAATAAGCAATCCATCCATCCAGGCATCCATTCATTGATCACCCAGGTTGAGTCATGGGGGCAGCAGTCTAAGGAGAGATGCCCAGACCTCCCGAGGATGGGAATGCAGAGGTGAAGTAATTTCTTCAGCATCCTTGGCCTGCCAGGGGTCTACATCTGGTTGGAGATGCCCAAACCATGTCCAACCAAAACTAGACGCCTAGTTTATGCTTGCCATTGTCATGAGCAGAACTTAGGGTGAGCCCCTACCAATGGAAGCTCATTCTGGTATCTGAGGTCTTGTGCTTTTGGTCTCTAACAGAATTATAGACAGCTTTACTTTGCTTTCACCCTTACCTGTGAAAGCACAAGTCTCTTGTTGTGGGCACAACTAGGGCGCCACTGTTTCCACAAGACCCTGAAAATATTTTTTAAGGCTTACGCTCAAGTCTTTTATTGAACTGAGTTGTGGTGTCTTTATGAGACATCGGGAGGTTTTAGTTGCAGGTGAACCAAAACAAATATGATTTTCGTTCAGACGACGAGGAGTGAGTAATTGTGAGGGAATTGAATAAGTGTTACATTTTAAAAGCTTTATAAACTGCAGTCTGTCACACCCCTCTATATCCATTATCCTTGAATTCAGATGTAAACAACTATATTACTTATGTACTTCATCACATAAAAAACTAAATAAAGTCTCTTTTCTCTGGTTATTTGTTGGCATCGCAATTTCTGAGTTGCAAGAACAAAGTTTAGTGAGAAAATAATAAAAAGTGTGTGAATGAGCTGTTCTAAATATGCCCACAGTGAATTCACCGTAATAGACAGATGGGCACACACTGAGGCAGGTGGAGAGACAGACAGGTAAACAGGCAGGACGGAGAGGAGAGCAGAGAGCAGCAGTTAGTGAGGTGGAGAGCACTTACTGTCGGCCCTTCAGTGCAGCACATGAATGGACCCTTTGAATGAGGCGCGGCTGGGCTGGTGTGTGTTGGGGGGAGTACGGGTGCAGGGGAGGCGGTGCTCTTGACAATACTTGGGGTATAGTACTTGATTGTTTACTCTTGCCTGTGGGGCTGAGCTATTGTGCTCTAGTGTGTATGCGTGCATAAGTGTGTATTTGTGGTTGCAGAGTAGAGTGTGTATGTGTGGTGGTGTGTATAAAGTTTACAGGCATTCAAGGAGACAAACGGCACAGTGCTTCTCTGTTGATCTAGAAAAGTATAGGGGCTTCACAAATGATCAGGGAGGGGGTCTTATGTTGGCCACACAAACACTCACATGCACACATAATGCCAGCTGCCGCCCTTAGCCCCAGCCCAGTATTTCTGAATTAATAATACAGGGCCAGCCACTCTGGAATAATGGTGATTTACACACACACACATCCATGCACAAAGCTTTGCACCTGTTCACCACTGCTTAACTGGACAGGGTTGGGCTTCACCACCACACGCACACACGCACATCCACACCCCCCTTGAGTCTGTTGTGGGCAATAGTTAGACAGCTGTGTCTATCTCCTGACCCTCCCCTTCTATTTCTGATGGCAAGCTATTCTCACTGAATGATTGGTCCAGTTGTGTTACTCTGTTCCCCTGATTGGATAGTTTTATATCCAATGAGGCAAAGAAACAGGATAATAATTTGAATATGAATGTCAGATTTAAATGGGGACCCTCAAAGCTATGCACTTCTAAGTGTTAATGCACAGTATGAATATAGCAAATACTGAATGGGGGGAATGCAACCCGTTGTAAAATTGTGAGCCCATACTGGTATTGTTTTTTGTTTACTATTATTGTATTTTTATTTTTAGTATTCATATTTACATTTTTTCATATTTTATGTTCAGCACTTTGGTCAGTGCTAGCTGTTTTTAAAATGCTCTGTAAGTAAAGTTGACTTGGCTTGTTTTTGTTCCTCCTTTTGCTCCAGACTAACAAGTAAAATCTTTGTAACTTAGCTTTTTAAAACCTTAAACCGCTTCATCATTTTCAACATTTAATCCAGATAAACAGAGAAATGTCAAGAAGGGACATTAGTGTATTGCAGCAGAACCAGACTAGTCATCAGGAAACCACTGATAACTTTGGTGTTGTTATGATGATTTTCATTTGTAAACAGCGCCTCTCAGGCATGAACTAACTGAAAGTAATAGTTGAGGGAAGTAAATTGCCTTTTTTGAAACAATTTAAAAATATATTTAGACCTGCTAAAGATTTAAATTATATTTCTATTAAAAGCAAATGGGAAATATCTATACAGCATTTAATTACTGCATTAAATGTAATTGCCAGTCATACAAAAATAAAGAAATCCAGGGTGCTAACACACAATGCCTCAAGGAGAGAAAAAGAGGAGCAATATACCAACAATCAGTACAATATGATTAGCCTGCTTATTGGCTGTGTGTGTGCCTTTCGTAATCTCATTGGATCCACCTCTTTCTGAACACAGGCAGCATGTCATTCCTAATGTTATCGGGTGTTTGAATGCAAAGGATTTTTTTTCTGGTTAGCTCAGATTGTATTTTTACCTTCTTGATGTGCGAGAAGACATACAAACACATCAGTCTTCGTGTTTTCAGTGACATGCTGCCTGGGTAGTTGTGCGTGTGGGGGTGGATGGTTATATATAAAAATGTATTTTGGGGGGGGCAGACCATCTGACTGAGCTGTTTTGAATATTGTTGACAGAATTTACAGATTTAAACCTGGATTGTCCGGTTAATGATTCTATCAGCATCAATATTTGCATATCTTGCATATCTAAATCTTACTTATACATTGACAAACAAACTACGAATTTTAAAAAATGTAACAATTTTAGGGAAAGTCTGCAAAAAATAGTATAATATTTTTCTGATAAATAAAAAATGGTCATCTTATGTATTGATTTCCTGCTTTTGGCTGATGTTGGCCTATTGCAGATATATTAGTATTAACTTGTTTGTTTTTGTTTTGTACCTTCAAACTATGACAGTTTTCTGACTTATAGCCCCTCAAAGTAAATTGGTGTATTTGGATAGAAATTTCAAACTTAACTTACCTTTGAGTCACGTAAAGTTTTAAGGACGGAAAAATGCATTTAAATTACTTAAAAATTAAATAAAAAAATTTAGCATGAGTTTTTTCTGTTATCAACTTTAAATATCATTATCACAAGTTGCAGTAATTGGCATACATCAATTTAATGCCTCGAGAATATCTTGAGAGCAGGGGTTAAAGTGGGCTTGGACTGCCTGGATCAGTATTTTGGCACCTTCAGTTAATAAGCAATTAAATCTGATGGGTAGGTTAATGTAAATTGCTGTCAAATGAGTTAATTTTTTTATGTACTCCAGTCCCTGAAGGTCAGCACCAGTCAGGTTCAAGTAGAGATGTATTTTATTTGTAGCTGAAACTGTAAAAAGAAGCCTCTGTAATGTGTAAGGAGAAGAATTTGTACTGAACCAGGCTTCATTTACTGGACAGGAGGTCATTCTGGGCCCAGGTGTGTCTCATGCCCCTAATAATACCTCGTCACAGGACTGATTTCTGAAAACAGAAGAGCATAGAACATAA